GTAAAATCTAGAACAGTTGCTAAAGCTTTACAGCAATGCAAACAAGCTGACATTTGTCCATATGAACTGTGGGGCAGAGTTCTTTAATACCTGCTTCCATTTAAATTCTGCTCAAATCCATGGAAGCTAATGGACATAAAAAGGGAGCATGCTGACACCAGGAAAAACAGAATTAGGGAATTCCTGATGAGATTCTACTCCTCTGGATGAGATTCCATCAGTGGATGGCGTTTGAAGCAATTTGCTCTCTTTACATATCCTACCCTAAACTGTAAAACTGTACAAAACTAAAACTGTGTTCTTTCAGGCAGTAGGATATAAAACGTTGTACTCAACAAATGCCAGTGCTGCTGCTCTGTTGCCATGCCAGAGAGCAGACATAATATGAAAAACAACTGTTGAAGACTTAGCTGGGTCACTGAGAACCCAGTTCTGCAAATGTTTAGTGCCAACCCATTGCTTGTAGGAGCATTTGCCCTGTCCCAGTGTGTGCCCACTACTTGCTGTAAAAGCAATCTATCCCGTGTACTAAGAAGCTTCTCCTCTGTTTCTTAATACAACACCTGCCAGTGAAGTTAAACTTCAAAAGGACTTTGGCTATCAAGCCCAAGACATATTCTTAACTTTCCAGAATAAGAGTTCATAGAAAAGTGCAAGTATTTTCACATCGCCTCTTATTTTATTCTTGAAATAATTTTTTAAGAGTTAAAAAACCACTTCCCATTATCCTGTAGGGAAAAAAAAAGAAACAAAAAACCCTCTAATACCAACAAAATTTAAGGCAAAGACCTATTAAGCAACCCAAATCTCAGCAGCAACTCTCTTAGACTAGGATTCAGCCAACTTCCTTTTTGTATCAGGACTGGCTCTCCACTACTTCATGCTGGGAACCCCTTGTACTCTCCAATATCTTCAGAGACTGACTGATACCTCAGTCAATTTTACTGAGCTCGCAATGCTCTGGCAATACAAACTATCTTGGCTACCTGGGTATTTCCCCTGAGTCAAAAGGCTCCTCTGCGGCAAAGGAAACGATGCCGTTGTCTCCCACCTTCCTCAGGGCACCCTTTCATTCCTCTGCTTGTCAGGTGCCAGAAGGGCTGTGGGAACCATGGGCAAATCAAGACTTCAGCAGCCTGTGATCCCAGGACCACAGAGGTGGCTGGAAGCCCTGCCTTCCACTGTGCCACCAATGCTGGTCTGTAGCCATGCCAGCCAGTGTGGAGATTGCATGGACCACTTTCCGTCAGAATCTGTCACTGCACTAGTGAGCATGTTTCACACCTAGCTGATACAAATACACCCTGTGATGCAAGATCCAAGAGTAACAGATTGGCTACAACCAGTTGGTTTTGCTCATTTTGGCAGTGCTGCAAGTAAGGCACAGCTCCTCTGAGGTCAGAGAAGCGGCAGTGAATGCTAGCAAAGTGCACAAGGCACGTACGTACACTATTGAGAAAAGAGTTCCTATACCACAAATGCAAAAAATAACAAAATATCACTTTCAAAATATCTTGCATAGGAAATATAAGCATCGGAAACTCCAACAACTGGTGCTACAGTGATACTATGCTCTATTTTTTTTTTCTCCCCTCAAAAGAGCAAATGCTTTCTAAAAGCCTTTGAAAAAAAAACAAACTTGCAAAAACCCCCGCAAACCAAGCCACGAGGAATTTTCCTTCTGGTAAGAGCCTGACACCATATTTCCTCCTATGTTCAGAGTTAACCTTGTCACAATGACAACTTTTATCAGGCACCATTATAGAATGTTTCATCTTTGAAACTGTAACAATTCATCCCAGAAAGGAGTATTTAATTTTGAAGCAATGTTGTTTGACTAAATGTAGGTCATATAATAGTGTTTTAAAATATGAGTGAAAAAATACTATGAATATGAAAAGCTCTGAATTACTCCATTGCCCTTTTTTTTTGAAATTACTTTTGAAACTGTTTCAGGAAACCTGCTACAACTCTGTGTAACTATACTAATGCTAATGGAACTATATTCACTTGCAGCAGCTTAAGATCTGGCTCATAATTTTTTAATAGAAACCATTCCAGTATGGAATTCACCACCTGAGTATTAGAGAAGCATGTTAATGCCAAGAAAGTAAAAATAGCATGTAAACAAAAGTGTTTTTCAAAGTCTTAGGTATAAACCCCTCACAATTCAAGGATACCCCATAAATAGAAGAAAATGCAATATCATCTCTGATGTATCCCTACTTCCCTCCTGAAATACCTGGAAGAATGCCAGTTTTAATGGGGAGCAGGAATGCACTTTAGACTCAATCCTGTTACATGTTCCATCCCGTTACAAAATGTTTGCTCTCCTTTTTGCAAATATCTGAAGCTCTAAATTTGATTTTCATACTATAAAATTAACTAACTCTGATATGGCTTTCAAAAAAACAGACAGTAATGCAAATAGTGTTTGGCTGAATGGATAAATTAAGTTCCTGATGTTCAGATGAACAATTACTCCATGGATGAGTCCAAGGAATAAATTTCTGGTTATGATAACCCAAAGATAAAATTCATATTCATTTAAACACTAACACAAATTTCTTACATGGGCAACTGCTGGTTTGCACTAACTGATTAAACTCTCAATAAATCATTCAAAATCATTCCAAAAAATCGCACCTTGCCCCTTCACTCTATGCAAAAAAAAGGTCAATTACTTGTGTGTAGTATAGGACATGACAATATCTTTTTCAAAGCGGATAATTCCTATTGAAATTGTTAATGAATTTGTGGATTTCACCAAAATCTTTACGGGAATGTGTCATTCTTGTCTAATGTTTTGCTGTGAAAATGTTAAAATGAAATTTTAGCCGGTGCTTTGTTAACCAGCCGTCCAGTTAATTAGTTGGCATACCTGGGAACCGAGCTCTTCTGAGACTGATGTATCTTCTTTTTTTCAGCCTCACTATACTGCTGAGTTATTACAAAATAAGTACTTTTTTTTCTTCTTCTTCTTTTTTTTTTTTTTTTTTTTTTTTTTTTTTTTTTTTTTTTTCATTATGTTTTGTTTTCCCCCAAGCATTTGGCAGGTCTAGTTTTCATTCTGGTGCCAAATAACTACCAACATCCAAACCTCACACTTTCTGCTTCACAGAACTGCTGCTTTTTGATCAACTCTTCTTGTCATAATATAATTCAATGGCACAATGGAATCCTACAGTGATTATCAAAACAGCTTTTGGAGCTATGGGATAGATTATCTGACAACACATCTACTCAGGTTTGGTTATTGTAGGGTGTAGATGAAGATGAGTATGAAAAATGCTGGAATTGTAACCAGTTTATGTTCTTTTTCCTCACTGGACCTGTGACAAGAAAGAAGAACAAACTCCTGAGCCATACCCACTTTTAAAAATCTACCCAGAGGCTGAGACTGTCTGTAACTGATTGAGTAGGAAAAAAGAAGTCTAATAATAAATAACATATGATTAACAAAAGCTGAGCTTCTTCATTTAAAGCTTTTTGCGATGAAAATCTGCAAAAGGTTGGGGCCAGGGTCAAAATAAGCCATCACTAGTTGAGTATGATTTATGTTAATGAAAATATATTAAAAATATATTAAAAATTAACAAGCTGCACACCGCAAATTTAATATAATTTTGAGTCGTGGGACACCATAGTGTCTTATTCTTACACTGTTCGTTTCTTCTGCACTAAGCTTTCATGAGTAACTTTGCAGGTATGCAAGACCTGTTGACTTTGACAGGGCTGTTAATGAAGCGTGAAGTCATTCAAAACTGCACATAGCTAAAGGCAGTAGCTATTCAAGTGTTATCTACTTTATGTTATTATGTTTCAGCCAAAATTTGGGAACCCTACTGACCATGAATGGACCAGACTTGAGAATCAGAGGGCCCAGAGCAAAGTAGAAGTCCAGGTGTCTGCACACCTTACCTGAAGACTAAAACTAGATGTGCTATCACAAGATATTTTAGAAATCTACTTAATTTTTCACAAATGTTTCAGTTTGCTGCAATCTGCTGTTTTCTTTTCAGGTTCACCACTTGTGCTGCAACATGATTTAGGGCCTAACCTTGATATTACAGATGTTAATTCACAGATGTGGGTAACTACTGGTAGGACGGAGACGGAAAGCTCCTCAGGGCAGGAGTCTTGTTTTTGCAGCGGAACTTTAAGCTCATAGTATATTATAAATTATGATATGAAGAATACTGCCAGCCACAGACCCCAAAAACCTATCAAAGGATGTCTTGGCAGAAGCAGGGTCAGGATTATAAAGTGTGTCAAACAACATGCTCGGCCAGTGCTAGAGGCGTGAGCGCTTTTCAGCCCAACTGCTCACAGTCACGGCTAAATCCGCTCTTAGCAGAAACTCACACGAGACCCAGGTTTTGGTAGCCAAGCGCAGACCCACGCAGCAGCGGGCTCAGTGGCCACGCACAGGCCCTCGCTCTGGGAGCCACCCGCGGCACCTTCCAGCGCCGTGGTGCCCAGCGGAGCGGCGGTGCCGGGGCCGGAGGGCGCTGCCGAGGGCCGCGGGCTCCCCGGCCCGGCCCCGGCCCGTGTCCCGCGCCCCGGCCCGGCACCAGGTGCGGGAGACGCCGCATCAGCTGCGGCCAGGGCCTGCAGCCCTTTCCCGGCCGCCGCAGGCAGCCCCCCAGATGCCCTCTCCGGGCTCCTGCGGCCCGAGCAGACCTTGCTGATTTCCTGCCAAATCAGCTCCTTTCTCCCCGCTATTCCCTCCGCGGTCGGACCTCAGATTTGGCAGCGAAACCTCGAGATTCCTGGTCCTTTCTTCCCCGCTTACTCTCCCGCAGGGCCATCAACAAACACGCTCGCCCCCTCCCGAAATGTTTCCAGCCTCAAAACTTTCTTAGCAACCGTGTCCCCCGCCTCCCGCGGCGGACGCCTGTCCCTCGCCGCTGCCCCCTCCCCTGCCCTCCCGCCCCGCTCCGCCGCTGCCGCCGGCCCCAGCAGCTGTCAAGCGGCAGCGCGGGCCGGCGCGCACTTACCCCGGAGCAGAGCGGGCACCGAGCTGCCCATGAGCACCCAGAGGGCAAGGCGCAGCAGGAGCCGCCGCAGGCTCCGCGGCAGCCGGGGAGTCATCGCGGAGCCGGATCGGCGCGGCCGGCGAGCCGCGGGCGGGGCGCGGGGGCGGCGGGGAGGCCGCGGCGGCGGTGGCGGGGCTGGCGGGGAGCGGGGCTGCGCCGCTCCGCTGCTCGGGACCGCGGGTGACTCACTGAAACTTCACTTCGGCGCTGCAGGGGAAACAGGAAATCTTAAACTTCGCAAACAGCTGGGCAGGACTTTCTTACTCTTACAGTAGTTCCTTCTCCCCCTTCCCACAGTCACCCCCTCCCCTGCTCTCGCCCTTTTTCTTTCCTTTTTCTTTTTTTTTCCCTTTTAACATGAAACCTCACCCAGTTGGGTGTCAATCATCTGCCAGAGGCCAGCCCCTCTCAGGTCTGGCTCTCCCACCACAAGCGCGTCGGGGCCAGCCCCGACGTGCAGCCCGGATCCTGCGCCTGCCTCCCTCCGAGGCGGGGACCGGGCACCGCCACCCGCCCGGCGCTGCGCCGTGGCTTGCGAGGAGGGAGCCTCAAGGTCGACAGGAAACTGCCAGCTCGGAGGGCTCCTACTCCCTGCGAGTTGAAAAGGACCCAGTCGTGTCATCTGGGACACGGGGAGTTTGCAGAGCTCCTCCTCGCATCCGTATCCCTGACCTCAACGATGCTGCTGCAGCAGCCTGTTTCCTCCTCTGCAGAACCGGTATCGGAAAGAAGGACGTAACCCCCAGATGAACCAAAGCAGGGAGCAGGGGAGGTTGAAGTCAGGGTAATAGCAGGAAATGTTCACACAGACTAGGTGGGCACTCAGCTTGCAGATGTTGAAGCTGACTGGAACAACTTGTCACCTGCTGCTTATTTTGCTCCCAAATAGGCTAGTTGGGCATCACTTTATCTCAAATGCTGCGTATGTGACACAAATGAAGTTCGTCTCCATCCCTCTCCAAAGGAACTTCTACCAGAGATTTTGCCTTCTCTGCAAGGGGGAAGTTGCATCTAGGATTCAGAGAGTAGGACCACGTGGGTGATGCCAGCTTTTCGTGGCCCAGTCAGAGACTGTAAGAACCACTCCGTTTTGAGCCTGAATAAAGCTTGAGCTCTCTGCCTGTATAAATCCAGCCACTGCATAGCCAGAAGTTGTATTGAGACCCATTTTCAGATCACAGTCTTCCTTCCTCTCTGAGTTAATTGATTGAAGGGTAAACTGATGTACATAGGGGTAAATCGAGGGTGATTGTTCCAATGTTGTTGATTCACTTTTGTCTTGGTTACAGCGCTAGTTAGAGATACAGATCTGGGTATTTCAGAAAAAGGGCTAAGCCCTCAGGGGGAATAAATGTAATCGTGAATGTCTCAGCTCACCTCTGTTTGAATTTGGAAATGTTTGCATAAAAAATTTAATTGTCCTATAACAGACAATTAAAAGAAATAATCATTGTGATTTTATGTAAATTTAGTTTTAAACACTCCCTAAATGCATATTTTCACCATGAAGTCTCAGTTTATGGCAAAGTCTCATAAACCACTCCAAGAGCATTTTTCTCTCCCTCATCCCCTTTTAATATAGTCAAGATTCACTCAAACAGGTGGCAGTCACCACCCTTCAGAGGTAAGAAAAGTTGCAGACTCCCCTTTGAGCACAGACTGGAGTGTTCTTATCAGTTCCGGTGCACCAGCTCTGTGCTAGAAGGTGACTGTGTTTTCAGTATCCACTTAAACAAAAGCATTTCTCAACCCCCACAAGTATATGCTGTGTGCTGTACACTGCTCTCTCCTTGGAGCTGTCAAGTTGCAGGTGCCAAAGAGTTGCTGTTTGCTTAGAAAGTTGGCTGTGTGTGCTGAACTCTCCTAGTAGTTTTTGGTGACTACCTTCCAACACGAAAAAGAAGTTTAAAATCAAGTAAGTACAGATTTAATATTACTATTCAAACCTCTCATGATCCAGGTGTGACAAAATATATGAAACAAGACTAAACTAGTAATTTCTTTCCATTTCCTTGTTCATAGCTCCTAGTTCCCTGTTTTCAGATAGCAGTTTCTTCTAGATTTAAACTGTGAGTATTTTATTTGACCTCATCCTGAGGTTAGTATTTAACCAGGAATGAGGTAGAGAAAGAGTCCTCTTCAAAGAGTGGGAGATTAAAGGTGTAAATAATAATCTCCAATCTGACAGGATAAGGGAAGACAGCTACTTTCAGTTCCTCACTTAGAAAGGCAAAATATGAAAGCACTGAATATTGTGTTTTCTTTCAGAGCCTTTGACATATATACCCAGAACACAAACAATTTAGTTCCTCTTGTATCTCAGGGCCTCCTAGTGAAAACACGCTAACTGCTCCTTGCTGCAGGTTTTAAGTACAGCTTTGAAAACAGTCCATAAAACTACTGAGTATAAATGATCTCTCTTTGTTATTCTAACTATTTTCTAGCTTTCAGTATCATATTTCTGTCAAAATCCCATGTGAACTACAGTATTATCCTCATAGAAAAGCACTTTCAAGCTTCTACAAAACATGCTTTGTTACTAAAAACTGTTGTTTCACTATACTTAACATACACTCAACTGAAAACCATTCTGCTCACAGCCACAAACTGCTGATGTGCACAATAAAGCAATTATTTTGATTAGTTTATTAACTCCAGTGTTGCTTTATTTAAGAATCCCAGAACAAGATAGTTCCCAGATGCAGAATTAAGTAAGGCCGATACAGTTGCACTAACACAACATAATATTCATGCCTGTGTAGAGCTAGTATATGTGGTGTAAGGTGAGACATCTCAACTTTAGCTGCCTAAAAGTTAGCCTTGGACTGAAGTTCCAAGAGTTGGCTGAGAAAACCTGTCGCCTTTCTCACCATCTAATGGAGCAGTCCTGCAGGACAAATGCTGGACGAACAGAATTGCCTTTATGGTGGCAGCAGGCTATTAGGTCACTCACATTCTCTTGGTAATTCAAGGAGGGAAAGATAAGTCCAGATATTTTAAAAACCTTTTAAAACAATGAGCTGATGATAGGGAGCATAATTAACTCAGACATATACTTGTTAGGATCTTAGGTGACGTGAATCCTAAAGGAAATGCTCTTTAATTGTATACATCACATAAAGCAAGCTACAAGATGCTTTACCCACTGGCAGTCATTGGAGTTAATGCCTGTGATTTTTGTTTGGAATGACACAAGGCAATCAGGTACATAGTATGCTGATATTGTCTTACTGAAACTATTAGTGAAGTAACTGGAATAAGTAGCTTGACCCAAATAAAAAACATTGATGACTCTGGACAAGTTTTGTCATAACTACTTTTAAAATGAAAATAGGAAATCTGTCTGACAAACCAACATGTCCCATTTTAATGTTTTTGTTCTGATACAGATTGGCTTTTTTTTTTTGAGGTAGACTATTAGTTTTGAATTTTTATTTTTTTTTTGTTCTCACCATGGTATGTATGAAAAAAAAGGACATGGGAACAACATACGACACTTTGATTTCACTACAGTTAGGCAAGAGGTTTATTTTTCAGAGAAATTTTGGCATTTCAGTTCAAATCAAAGTCAAATTTTGTAAGCCTGTATTATTTGAAACTCAAAACCTCTGTTCCCTGCAGGGCTCTGTTCACAAAGCTGACATTTGCCTGCTAATTTTCAAATTGAGGGTGCTTGGCATGGAGTATTAGCCTTTCAGCATCCTTGATAATAGCTCTGCCTGTCTTGTGTATCATTGGCTGAAGAACACATTGTCCTCTTTGGAGCAGTGTGAAACTGTTGTGCCCTGTATCACCATTTGAATCATATTTCTCTCTTAATTTAGGTTATCATGAAGCACAGAATTACAGCTACTGTCAAATGCAGTTTTCCTCTTTTACATAATCACTGGTTCCTACTTGTTATTGATAATTTGCATCATTTTATGAGAACACACACAGCCTCAAGCAAGGACATTTACAAAAGGTTACATTCATTGTAAAATGTTTTGAAAAACTTATAAAATGTGTTTGGGCTTAACACAGCATTATGCTTATCTCATAGATATAATCAAATTAAAACATCTGTTGTATGTAATCATCCATCAGAAAAAGGAAATCAGCTTGTTATCAACTCCTGCACACATCAGAGGCAACAAGAATAATGTTATCTTCAAGATTTATCTTAGTAAAGCTTTCTGCACAAATCTTCTGAGTGACACTCAGCAAAATAAGGTTTTGAAATATTATTCGAAGTAGCACTAGATTCTCAGGGCACTGCTGTTCACATGATCTCTGACTTTTCGCTATAATGCAAATCAACCATTTCTAAGCTTCACTGAATTGGCTTGCTCTGTGTTTACTGTGAATGCGTAAATACCCTGCAACAGTGAAAGCAGAACTACGTTAGTGTCAGAAGAGATATCTTCCTGCAGTGCTTCTGGCAGGAAACACCATTTAATCTCACTACACAACCTTTGAAATGAAAACTTCCATCCTATTTTTCCAAAAGCAAAGGACATTTGGAGACTTTATGCTGTTTTCTTCTGCTTCTACAATGAGTATCTGAGCTGAAGGGCAACTTGCACACTTCCATAAATGTGCTGTATTTTTTTGTGGAATATTTAACCTGTACAAAGAACTTGTAAAATTAAGTATCGATGATGTGGCATTCTTAAAAGACACGGAAAGAAATTATTACAGATATACTCTGCATATAATTTAAGTTGCTCAAAAATATGGTTACCCATGGAACCTGTCTTTATTACCGCATAATTTGTAGTATTTACTATCATCAAAGCTTGTTTTTATAGGCTCTTCATTAGAAAGAATTTGAACATTGGATGCCAAGCCTCAAAAAATATCTGAGACTATCAAAGAACCTCAGCAGTATAACACAGAGGCCCTTCTGTTTCATTTTTCCCACAGGAACAAAAGGGAGTTGTGAATCTATCATAAAATATATCCCTAAATCTAATCTGAAAGAATCTCAATACTTCAACCACAAAGCCCCAGAACCGAGGAAAGCATCCTCCCACCCCACCAAGCAGAAGATTATGTCTGTGTCGTTCAGGA